TGTAATATATATTGATTCCTCATTTAAACTGAAGGGGAATAGGTGCATCCTAATGATCCTAATACGGGCATCTGATAGCGGGATAAAGCACAACGTATGCTGTTTGAAAGTTCCTGTTTCTGTTGGACGAGGACAAGGGCATCCCGAAACTTTCCCACGTATTTCTACCTTACCTCTCGATATAGGGACGTTTCCAGGGTGACTCTACGCAGAGTCACACTCATTACGAATCGGGCCATATGCTCAGCCCAAGAGTCAGCACAGGTGCGTGGCAATCACCGATCATACTGCATGCTGCTGGGAATAAGGAACAAAAAATGTCAGAACAAAAAGTGACACTTGAGGTTTGTTCACATTCAATTAACTCGTTAATGTTAAACAAACAAACAGAAAACTGACTTAGAACATGAAGTAGGGCATGAACCTGACTGCGTGCCATCTGAGCACCCTGGGAGAGCGTCTGAAGTCCACACTGGCTGACACATTTTAGTTCAGTCATCTTAACTAGATCTAAATAAGCTGATGCAAGTATCTTGTAATATTATATAACTTGACCATGATGATTTAACCTACTGAGGTAAACATTATGTTGATATAAATATGTTTACAATACATACACCATAAATTATTGTCCCTGTTTATCAGTACCACCTTTTGCACATGAGGTGAATCTTCCTCCGTGGCTATGTACCAAAGAGAAACATAAATGTAACTTTGCAGCGTTCACATCAGCAGTGCTGGCTATTTTCTCTGGATAGCATCTTAATTAAGTTGCACTTAATTAAAGGAGCTGCCATTGAACTAAGAGCCACTGTTTGTGCATCTCTCACATGCAGCTTATTCGGGCATCTGCTTGTCTATCGAACTGCTGAAGTCTTTTTTTCTTTTTCTTTTTTATTTACCTTGGGTAGTACACTCTGTGCTGAGGAGCACTTTTTTTACACACACAGATTGATGCAAAAAGCATAAAATAACACCTCTCTTAGTTCAGTTCTGGGGAAAATAATACTTACTCACACTTAAGTATCTACATTTTTTACCACTCTTTTAGGCTTTTGACAGCCATTGGCAGTCAACAGGAAAATATTAAAATGAAAAAGACAGGAAGAAGATAGTCTGGTCTACTAAAATGCTAAATAATTTGATCTTCAGTGTTGAAGAGAATATCATTTGCTCCCCAAACCAATAGCCAACCTTATTCAGGTCCTTCATAGTAACTGCTTTTTCTCTCTTCTCTCTCCTACACTACCCCTTCCCTCTGCCCTCCCTCTGTCTTAACACAGTGATGAAGATTGATGTTCAGGTCCTAATTAGCATCTGCTTTAGTATGCACACTGCCAGTTTGTCCATTCCTGACCCTCGAATCAGTTAACAGACATGACAGGCCTTGTCCAATCAGATTAAGGCCAGAGGGACAGACTTCCTGTGTGGAGCTGTCACTCTAGATGCACTGTGGGCACCGCTGATGGATGTGATCTGGACTAGGAGACCCAAATCATTTCAAAATTGTGTAAAACATCATGCATCGTATTAGGTTGTGCAGACAGATGAATAAGATTAACTACAACACCACGACAGTGTGCTGTAAACGCCCTCAAATGGGATAGAAGTGGTAATAAATGAAAGTGACATGATGTGACAGCTTGTTGATCTTAAACCATAAACATTTTAGTCCTGGTTGAATTTGCAACACTTTTGAAAACAGGTGTCAGGCTCTGAATGTGTTTCAATATTGCAACCGTCAATTTGTGGATCTCTTTGCATTACTTAACTTCTCCAACTCATTTATTTCCCCTCATATAGCATCAGCCAATCAGTGTGAAATTCAACATTGTCAAGCATATTGTGTTATAGTGTGTGTGTGTCTGTGTGTGTGTGTGTGTGAATACTGTCTATCAATGGCCATGATGGGATTTCAGACTGAAGTTCAACTGTCTCATGAGACCTAGACATGAAAAGAGAGAGAGATGAAGAGAGGTTTAAAAAAAAAGAAAGAAATCCTTTGATAGTCCTTGTATTTTCATGTGTTGTACTCTTCTATCACACTTTGCCTCCCTCAAATGTATGTGCGTGTGTGTGTGTGTGCATGTTCGTGTATGTGTGTGTGCATCAAAGCCCTACCATCACACAGCAGTCTTTTCCTTTGTCCCAGTTATATCACTCTGTCTCTGCCTCCGCCCTTCCTTCCCTTGCCACCTGCCTTTTTCATAGTCATGTCATACTGCTCTCCTGCCATACCTAGTGATTCCATTGAAAATATTTCACTGCAACACACCCCCGCATGCCTCAAGAAATGGCAAAGTAACCTCTCTAACCAGGAACATGAAACTCTGTGCTGCAGCAGTGACACCTAATTTATTCCCCTACCCACTGGTGTGTCATATCAAAAACACACAGCCTGGGTATAAAAGAGCAAAGTCCACAAATTGTTCTGTGTGGCATTTATTACCACACAAAGCAAAAAAATAATAAAAACGTAACATAAAGAATATGGCACATAAGTGGCAACATATCGTGGTGCAGATTCCTTAAAAGCTGTGTGGGTATTTAATGTGGCTTTTGCAGTTATGTTGGTACCGCGTCTTTGATCCGTTTTTACTTTTCCAGGCTGCTGTTTCCATCCTGCTGTTTCACATCATTGGCACGTTGCCTTGTGGTGCATCTACCAGGGCTATGGCTCTCATTAGCACCTGTGTTGACATGACTGGCATCTCATCTGTTGTTTTCCTCTTTCTCCATCTTTTTTCTTTTTTCCTATTTTTCCTTTCCTGTCAGCTTCCTCTCGCTTGTTGTACTCAAAGTTGCCCCCAAATGCTCAGTGTTTCCCCCCCTAACTTTCACTCCTTATCCTCCCTCGCGGTTTCGCTTCTCTATCCTTCTCCCTTCTGCTCTGTTCCTCTCACTGTCTCTCCCTACCAGGGGTTTTTAATTAATGGTCGAGCCATGATGCTTATCTTATCAGCAGATCACTCTGCTTTCTATTAACTACACTGACAGAACTGGGAGGCTGTAGGGGGATGGATGACACACACTCTCATACACATACAGTGACATAGCATATAGTCAGATACATATATATGGCGTCAGTACACAGAAGTATAGACACAAATGAATATATATGCACTTGCCATTACACTCATGCACACAAACAGACATGGAAGCAACAAGGGCCTCATAAACACACATCATGATGCTATCTTAATCTTGCCACACACCCTTACACACATAAACAAACTGCCCTGATGGTATCTCACTGTGTGATTTAAGGAACGTTGTTTGGGGGTCTCTCCTCCTAAATCCCCTAAATGCCTTGGGAATCCCTCCCTCTTCCTCCTTCTCTCTATCTGTCCTCTACCTCCCTCCTTCAGTCCTGCTTTCCAGCTGAATGAACACTTATCATTCGGCAGATAAACAGCCGTCCATGCTGGAGCTTGCTTTATCTTTGAGAGCCATGTTTACTCCCTGTGAATGCTCTGCTTTCCACAGATGTTTCATAGAGTGCATTCACTTGATCCGACAGAGATGAGCGCTGTGTCGAGGCTTCATTTTCTGCAGCAAAAACTATGGATGCACACACAATCTTCTACCCTATCAGGTTTAACTCCCCAGGCAGGTCAATTGTCCCATATTTACCACATTTTCATGTTTGGGTCGGCTGAGCTAAGAGGCACAATAAATCAGCAGTTTGCACGATAGCTTGATGGGGATTACGGTGAGACACAGTTTGCCACAGAACAGTAAGCATGAAGCCAGAAACAACAAAATCAATCCTCAAACATCATGATCGATGGGAGCCGCAAAATTTCAACATAGGTTTTCGTCAGATCGCATTGAGAGTTGGCAGTTTTCTGAAAGCACAGAGAGAAAGAAGCAACAGAGAAACAGTTTACAAAGTGATTATTGGAGAAAACATTACGGTGGATTGAGGCGGCACATGCTCGTGCACGAGTGTAGACATATCCAGTCGCCCACACTTTCACGCACACTCATAATTTCCTCATTTGGGGGGCCATAGCAAAACAATTATCAGAGGGGGATAATACAATAAAGGAGACCATTTCCTGTGTATTACCGAGGGACAAAACATTTATTTCACTTTGTCTAGTGTGTTCATGAGAGTATAAACTTCCAGTGGTGGAAAGTATAGGAAATAACTGAAACTGCAGACAGCAAGCAGGCAGCAGAAATGCTGTCCTGTGCAGTTAGCAACACTTTTTGATTCTTTTTTATAAGCTTTCTAAAAATTTCTCTGCATGCATCGCTTCATGCTTCTGCCGAAATCCTCTTTATTTGTATTAACTCGTATTGTGTCGCATCCATACAAATGTACAAATAAGCTGCTGCCCTTCAGCTTGACCTTCAAAATGATAATCCCTAGCATCTTCACATTTGCTGGTTACCTCTCAAAAAATTGTCACACATGGTTGCTATGACAATGCTCCAAATCATCCATCTGAAATAACTCAAAAGGTTTCAAAGATTTACTGTTATTCTAAGGAAATCCAGCTTGTCTTTTATTACGCTAAAATGCTAATACCATTTGTGGTTGATTTTGATCCATTTATTAAAGTTTTCATGATTGCCACGTGCTTAGCTTTGTGGCCTTATCTTTACTTTCTCTCATTTCCTGCACTTGTGTTGGATGGAAATGACGATATTTCAGCAAATTAGGCATTCAGCAGGTGATCTGTGTCATTTTTGTTCCACTGTGTTGCTTAGTTTCTAAAGCCTTCTCCCATTAGAAGTGAGTTTTCTTGTACTGAAAACAGAGCAGAGTGGATTTTGACATTTAAATCTCTCTTTCATTCATGCTCTGCCTTTGGATCCATCTGACTTTCTCTTTATATCCCGCATTAACGTTGACATGCATGGTTGAATATCTGTGGCTGAAAAAAAGTCTCTGATTTTATTGAACTACTTTTAGGTAATATTTTCATTTCAGTGAGAAACTTTGTTAACCTGCTGAAGGAATAAAAGTGTCTCTGTATGTCATTCTGCAGAGAGTTTGGGTGGAGAGATCCAGAGTTGCCAGAGGTGATCCAGATGTTACAGCACCAGTTCCCATCGGTGCAGTCCAATGCTGCAGCCTACCTACAGCATCTCTGTTTTGGAGACAACAAGATCAAAGCTGAGGTTTGTGTATACGTGTGCGTACATGTATGTCCTTGTCTGTGTCTATCAGTGTGTTGCGCAGGTTTAGTATCACATGAGAATTTGATTAAAATCAGTGTTGCAAAGAAGGGAATGATTGTAACTTTTATAATGAAAGCCATCAAAATATGTGTTTGAAAAAACAGGTGAATAATTTGTGACTAGAAGATGCTGTCAAACCTATTCAGAGGAATGCTTTTGAGAAATAATGCAATAGCTAACCAGTTTCACACTGATGTTCTGCTTGATAAAGCTTGCCACAATCACCATTCTTAAGATGTGCATTCTACTGACTTGTATTTATTGAGGTAATGAAGCTCAATTAGTGCCGAAGCAGCAGGTTTGCCTCTCAAAACTAATTTTGCGGTGAAGCCCCTTTGAAACACTCTAATAAACCCTTTAATAAAGCTAGTGGCAATCTAAAACAGTGGCATTGGCACATGCAGATGCATTCAAATCTGCATCTCTTCCTTCAACAGACACAAATTCACACACCCCTCCACAGTCTACAGTACCTCTGAATCAATTTACAAGTACACGCGGTTGAGAACATTGACATTTTTTTTCTATATGAAATTAATTTCAGTGGAAGCAGTCAATAGCTGCAACTGCAGCCTAATGAAAAGTGATCCCATATAACTGTAATGCTCATTCATGCACAGATGTAAAGTGATGTGTGTCAGCACAATGTGTGCACATATGCAAATAGACATAACACAATACAAAACAGAAAAATTAATATTAACCTTCTGCAAATCAAAGGCAATTAAACATGTAAACATGCACGCGGCTAATTTTCATTCACATCGACCCACTTACCCACCCACACAAAGACACACGCAGGGATACAGAAATGCAATCACACTTCCATACAAAAACATCACACTTGATTCCTCTCCCTTCCCCTCACCCATGCAGCTCTGAAAGAAACCTAAGTGCTCGTGTCTTTTATAATGGATCCAATTATGCCTGAATAGAGGTGTCCAACAATGGTGAAAAAACATTGCGTTGACAGCGAAATCTTTGGCCTGGCTTCATCAAGTCTGTTTCATTGTCATGCTTTGGGTCCAAGGCGTGGCCAAACACTGTTTACACAAAAAGAGAATTCAGCCTGTACTTTGGATCACATCAAACAAAAACACACTTATATTCTCTGCAAACACGAGATACATTTCCACTTTTCCACATGTGCACAATGCACATGACAGCAATGCAGTGTGTGAAATATGATGCAATAAGAAACACAGTGAGATGTGCCTTAAGCTGTATTTCTTAAATAGTCTTTAATGAAAAACAAAGTTGATTGACGATCACTAAGCCAGATATGGGACATTAATTTGGTTAAAGATCCATTTGCTATATTGAAGCCAAATAGTGTAGTGTTTTTGTACACACACACACACACACACACACACACACACACACACACAAACACACACGCATGTACACACGCACACACATATAGATATAGATAGAAAGACAGAGATATAGATAGATATAATATGATATCATGCAGGACTATGGATGAGTAGATGACCAGCATCCACACTGATCAAGAAACACCTGGTAGCTCAATGTTATAACATCAGTAGAGGACAGCTAGCTACCATTAAAGCTGGAGATCCAGAGTCTACAGTACAATGGGAAGAATAGTGAGCTGTATGAACATAATAAGCCAACTCTGATAGAAGAGAGCAGTGTAACTGAACCTGATAATACCTGCAGTAACAGAGGAAACTACTGATTGTGGCCAGACTCAAGTTAGCCACCAAACCAAGGGCACAACTCCCCCAGTTCACTGACAAAGTCCTATCAGAGGAGATTATTGCAGATGTGACCACTGCTCTGCTCACCATCCACACTACTCGTATCACAGAGCTATTAGATACCCCTGCCTCAGTAATCCTAGAAGGACTTGGGTATATGATCAAGAATGCGTGTAGAGAAAGCCCTTTGTGGAGAAGAAGGCTGGAATTTAAAATCAGAAAAGCTCAAAGGATATTAGTTGGTTAAGTGAAGTGTAGAAAGGCATCATGAGAAAAGTATAAGATGAGGCTCTGGAAACTGCCAAACGAATGTTACAGCTCTGGCTGAAGAGCCACCAGATACCACCAGAGACGCAGGAGGAAAAATATGAGTGGCCTTTTCCAACGATGCTACCAGGATGTTCTCTTAGTTGCAAGAGAATAATAGGAAAGACTAGGATAACAACTAGGACAGACCTACCAGAGCTGAAGATGTTCTCCCAGAAGAATATCTGGGAGAAAAAGGTGCACATAACACCAGCACCTAGAGCAAGAGCCAGTCAGCATCACAAAGGCAGACATTCCTCAATGAGTTGTTGTTGGAGGAATGAAGACCTGGACGGCACCAGGACTTAGCACGATCTACACCTGGTGGACGAAAAAGAAGAACACCACTCCATAAACGCGTGGCAGTACAAATTGAAGTAGTGGGACTACTAACAGCAGGTACTCATCTGGACTGGAATTATAGCAACACACACGAATCACATGAGGCACATGAGTTAATACATGAGCACAGCCTAGGGCGTAGTAGGGCATTGTAAATTACACCAAAGAACCAGCTCCTGGATAACACAGCACTACACTAGGACTGTAAGACCAGATAGACCAGCCTGAGCTTTGACTACAAGAAAGACTACAGCTCAATGCCACACACATAGAGACTGGAGTGTTTGGCACCGTACAAAGCTAATAGCACAATAATAATGTTAGTCAGGAACTGGGACTGTGGGAGACCACTGGAGACCAAGTCCAAGGGAATTGCATAAGTCACTATCAAGAGGTGATGCACTGCCCCTACTCTTCATCACCCTCTCATGATCCACAACACGTAAAATCACTATATTAGTTTGTTTGGGTTTTTTTTTGGTCAGCTGTCCTTTAAAGGTCCGCTTTTTCTAACATTTGACCACTTTAAGACATACTACTTGTAATGTGTGTGGCCATCATGTGTATTTCAAGTTTCGATCCAAATCGTTTTTTAAACCATACCTTTGTACCTCTGGGTTTGAGCTTGATTTCAGTAAACTACACCCATATTGATACAGACCTGAATGAGACTCTGTTAATTACTTAAGTACAGCCAAAATCCCAGTACAGTTTTTGTTTGTAACTTATGTGAATGCAAATTTTGTCAGATAACACTGAAATTGCAGGAATCGAGATTTCAGTTCAGAGTAACTGCTTGGTAAATATGTTGAGTATGTTAATTTTTTCCCCCTGTATGTTCTGTTGTCTGACAACAGGGACATGACAATATGTACATGAAAAGACTGTTTGGAGTTAAAGATGTTTGTTTATAGTAAATTCGGCTGTAATAAAATATAAGACGAGCGTAGTAGAGAGTCAGAGAGAAGCAAACGGTTAAGTCTTAAAGTTTCTATAGTTCATAGTTAGCGTTTAGCATTACATTTTTTCCAGAGCTGATTACATTAGTGCCTTTAAAGAATAGCAAGATTGTATTAGTATTTCATCAAGTTTTTAGTTCAGGAGAACATAAAAGTATTAGTTTGGTTAGTTCAAGGTTTTTTTCCGCATCACCATACAGCCATTATTTGATATTTTACCAGAGCCATTACGTTTGTCACATTCAACCTACCAGGCTCCACTTACAAACACACACACAGACACAAAGTTTACCTTGGAGAAACTGGGATTTGCTGGGTGCCTCTGGTGTTTAACATATTAGTCTGATTCAAAAATAACGTGTTAAAATACCAGTCACGCACACAAAATAAACTCATGAGGCAGAAAGCGGTCCTCTGCCAGCTGAAATTACCTTTTAGAGTTCAGTGGCTTTAACCAGAACAACAGTCGTCCTTGTCAAAGAAGCTCTGTGAGCTTTAAAAATGCTTTAAATACAAACTAATTGGGAGTTTTGTTGTTGTTGTTGTTACGAGATGTTTTGCTGCTGAACCTCCAGAGCAGTATTTTCAACATCCATATTAGCAGCATACTATGGTATGGTCGGGTAACTATGGACAACTTTTAGCTCAACTCATATTGGTTACATAATGTTTTACATAGAAACAGAGGAAAATTCTTACTTCCTCCAGGTTTTCATAACTCATATTTTTTTTCCTTTCATCTCATAATATTATAAAAACTAATTTTCATGATAAATCAATTCATTTCAATCAAAGGTAAATATAAAATAAATGATCATAACTGTCACTGCTTCATAATTACTATTAGTATCATTATGATTAGCTTGGATGTTTAATAACATTTTTTTTTGTTGTCAGTTATGTATCTTTTCTCATCTTCAGAGTTGTAAGAAAGTGACTTTTTTCTTTCATTTTAAACAAGCGAGAGTTTAAAATGTCTGTATGACTATCTTTGCTTTATTACAAAGGCTTCCAAACACATGAAGTGGCATTAAATTGTCAATTGTATTCTCTCCTGCTTATCAGCAGACAAAAAGAAAAATGTGTTATTAACGCTTTGAAGCAAAGACAAAGACCAGCAGGGGCGCACGTTGATTAGCATTACTTCAATCCAGTTACACACATGGGCTTTTTTTATGACCCGGTCTGTGCCTGTATTTCAAAAGAGAGGTGAGGTTTCATTTGATGGAGTTTTGTCCATGACAGTCCCTTCTTCTCTTTAACCACAGGAAACATAATGGCACTGCTAACTTCCTGGATTTTTGTCCACATTATTTGTTCATTTCGACTTCTCCAATCACCCAGCAGGGAAGTAGACAGGTCTATATCAGGATGAGTGCGTTGCATGATTAGAAGTGTAATTTTATGTGTCGGTGAATTCAAATTAACAATCAGAAGAAACGTTTATTTGCAGAGTAGTGCCAGGATTTTAGTGCAAGGGGAAAATTCCTGTCTTTTTTTTTTTTGTATTTCGCCTTTACTTCACATTTCCTGTCATAATTTTTTTTAGCTCACATGTACGTCACATTTTCATAGGAACTCACCCAATTACGTTAGCAATATTACATGT